GCCCATTAAGACTTGATAATCATAACTAGTAATCATGTAGCCCTTTACGAACATGACCCAAACCCAAACTGGTAACTATTGTTTATGATAAAAGGTTGGAAGTCTGAAGACTACATTTCCCAATACTTTAGCAGTTAGGGTTCACCTGACTGGTAGGCAAATTAAGACTGGGAGGAAAGGAAATCTCTCTCTCTCTCTCTCTCTCTCTCTCTCTCTCTCTCTCTCTCTCTCTCTCTCTCCCTCCCTCCCTCCCTCCCTCTCTCTTCCCTTTTCTTTTTCTTTCCTTCTTCTGATAGTGATTCTTCTATTACCCCATATTTCAGACAACCTTTTTGTTGCTGCAACCAAAAAACCTGACAAGAACAATTTTAAGGAGGAAACTTTATTTGGGGGCCCGTGATTAGACAGCTGGCTCCATTCCTCAGGTGAGGCAAAACATCATATCATAAAAGAGTGGTAGAGGGAAGCAGCTCAAGGCATTACACCAGGAAGGAGAGAGAGAGAGAGAGAGAGAGAGAGAGAGAGAGAGAGAGAAAGCTCAGCTCACAAAATATAAATCCCAAAGGCACACCCCCAGGGACCTACCTCCTGCAGTCACACCCTACCAGCCTGCAGATACCACCCAGTTAATTCCTAGCAGGGGATTAATTCACTGATCAGGTTAAGGCTCTCTTAGCCAGATCATTTCACCTCCAAGCTTTCTTGAATTGTCTCACACATGACATTTGGGGAACACCTCACATCTAAATCATAATACACCAGCTTCTGAGGCTACAGGCTACTTTCTGTGATAGTAGGTTCTAGAAGCTCTTTCATCACTCTGCTCTTTTTCTAGTTCTAAATAAAATGGGAATTAGCTTAATGTTTCCATTTTTCTCTTTGTCTAAGATCTTTGTAATCTCTTGCATGTATTGAATATCCTGTTTGAAATACCTAGGTTAGTCCTATCTTCTTGACTAGAAACTGATTGATACAATAAAGACAAAATTATTTTTCTTTGCAAGTCTCTTTTATTGTGCATTGTAAATATATATAATAGTGGGATTTTATACCATATTCGTCAACAAAATGCTTTATGAAGAACTGCTTGTCTGGTTTCATTCGCTTTGGTCTCCAAAATCTAGATTCTAGGAGTCAGTTTGGATATATATTTCCAAAATTTCCCCTTGTAACTGTACTCATCGTGTTTTTAAATTATATTTTGCATTTCATGATGTTTTGACATCTTACAATCTTTCTGGCTGGGGAGAGACTGCTCCGCCCAGGTCAGGCCTTCCTTGGAGAGAGCGGAGGTCTTGGCCAGGAGCACATCTCTCACAGACAAACCAACCAATCCCAAGCCCTTCTCCAACTCTCATACACCAAGCCAGTGTTTCTTCTTCCCTACGTATCCCCAGGCCAGGTAACAGGCAACTACAGCCTATCATACAGCTCAAAACACAAGGAATTATTCAAACCAGCCAGTCCTACATTGTTTTCCCTGGCTTTCCTTTCCCAGGAACCCCAATAAAGGCTCTGACTCTGGATTTCCCTTCACCTGACCAAAACCTGGTGCTTCCCTTACAATGACCTCTCTCCGCCATTTCTGAATATAATCAACTTCTTCCCAAACCCCACTTTCATTTCCTCCTGTGGCCACACAATATTTACTATACCCTATTCGACATGTACCTTCTTAGAGTAACAGTGCTTCCTGAACTCCATTCCTCCTGTTACTTGTGTCCAGCGGGATTTTAGGAAGTGCTCATTAAAGAAAGTTTTCATATTTAAATGGATTTGGAAATGTTGGGCTATATCAAGTTCAACAAACTTTTTGGCTGAAGGACTTCTCAGAGTTTTTACTACACATTTGTACAATTCTGAATCTCTAAGAGTGTACCCTGGTTTTTATTAAGCAGGGAAACATTTATCACAGGGTGTACAGTGTTATATCTAGGGACAATAGTCTTCCAAAGAACACCATTTGGGAAATGCTTATTTATGGCAATACTGTAAAAAAAAATTATTTTAGTGTTTTCATGAAAAAGATATTAAGAGGTTGTTGATAAAGAGAAAACTCCTACTTGGTAGCAATAAATAGATGTTTCACAGAGTACCAAATATATTGCTATGCAATGGACTACAAAGCTTACAGAATTGTCCTATTCCGATTCCTCTTGTTTAGAGATGTGACCCTAACCCTTGGCCAGCTAAGGGCATGGTTAAAAACCTGGCGAATTTTCCTTCTGCTCTTATCCATGTCGACAGAATGTCAAGCCTCTTATCAGAACACTGTTCCCACATCTCAGACTTCACGTATTCCCTGTGAATAAGGCAGTCCTTAAGTATGAAATTGTTCCTCTATTGGGTTTCCTTTCTTTTTTCAGGAAGCTAAAAAGGGGTGAGTTATAACAATATAAGCGAAACCTTAAAGGGAAGTTTATGGAGACTCAAGAAGCAGAACACTAGCTCAGCATGGGCTCACAGGAACTAGAATAGAGAACTACACAAGCTCCCAGGAACTAAGTGTGCACACTCTCCCCCATGTCTCTCTCTCTCTCTCTCTCTCTCTCTCTCTCTCCCTTGGTCCCTCCCTCCCTCCTTCAGGCAGTGCCTGTTTTTCTGGAGTGGCTTCATCCTCCTCTCTCCACTGCCTGGGCCCTATTTAAGTTCAAAGTACATGTGACTCAGGGCCTGTCCCAACATCACCTGGCATAATTCCCATCTGCCAGCCAAGTTGCCCAGTCTCTCAGCTGTGCTGTCACTTGATGCCTATGGGCAGTTTCACTTCTTCCTGTGCTCAGCAAAATGCTGACTGTGAGCTGTGTGAGAACTAACTTCTCAACCCTGAAGCCTGCATCTTATGTCTATGCAAAAGTATTCTGAATATTAGGTAATGGGAAGAAGGTCTTTCAGCCCTTTTGCAAGAAGAGGTTTTATTTCCTCCCTTCCAGGCTAAAGGGTGCTTCAAATCCAAACTTACAATGACTCCTGGCTCACATGATTTGTGCCCCTTCCACCTTTCTCCAATCTCAGCTTTTCTACGGCTCCCCATGTCTTTCTAGCCCACCTACCACACTTTCCCTCACTCACTTATGTTTGCGTGTTTACATTTACTGCTTCCTCTGCCTGGAACTCTCACCCTCCCTGGTTAATTCCTACTCATCCTTGAGATCTTAACCCAGTTGTTACTTCCTTGGGTAAGATCTACCTTGGCCTCCTGCTCAGGAAGAACCCCACCCCCAACTCAATACATAGCATCACATTTATTTTTAAAATTGTTACAATAGTTAATTTTTAAATGCCTGTCTCCCTCATTAGCAAGTAGATGAGTCCAGAGATCATGTCTGGTTTTGCTCATCCCTGTAGCCCTTGCATCTAATACCTGATAATCTCTTAATAAATATTTGGTTGTATCCATTCTGCCATTCCACAGTCATACTATATATACATTTCTCATCTCTTTAATTGATCTTTTTCAAAATAACTTCTTGTTTTATAATTTCCTGTTCTTGTTTCATTAATATAATGTCCCTTTTTTTTTAATCTCCTCAGGAGTATTAGACTGTGATAGTTTTTGTTTTAAAGGTCTGTGCTGATAGTGCTGTTATCTATGGTTTTTTTTATTGTTGTTATTTTTGTTTTTGTTTTTTGTTTTTTTTTAATAAGAACTAGTTTATTTTATCATCTCTCTTTCATTCTGATAACTTTTCTCAAATGTTTGGTAATTTTTCATTAAGTGTTAACTTCTATGGCAGAAAATTTCTCACATATGACCAGAGAAGTGGTCCCTCTTGGCAGTCTCAGGGAAAAGTCACTATTTACTCATTATATGCTTAAAATTCTGTGACATTTCCCTTTCACATACTTTATATCAATTTATCTTCAAAAGAACCATAGAAGAACATGCATTATCATTATCTTCATAAACTAAATATTTAAATAAACTAAAATTTTGAGAAATTATTTTTCTTCCAAAATTATGCAGTTAGAAAAATTTCAAATCCAGACTCACACCAAACCATTGATTACATATCTCATATTCATCACACCATACCACACAGCTGCCCATCACCTGACTCTGCTTAAGGTTTAACATTTTAAATCCCAGGCCATGTTAATAAAAGAAAAAAGAGACTATTTACACACCCTAGGAAAAGTAGGACATGACATCAACAATGTTTAGACTTAGGAACTATCATGATTTCAAAATTCTCTTTCTCTAACTCATATCTCTCATATCTCTGTGTTAGCTTCATCCTCTCCTTCTGCAAATTGTATTCTCTACATAGTGAGGTACATGAACTCCAAGAACCTGATCCACATCCCAAGAGTTCTACCCATCCCCTATCCCCCATCCCCCAGAGGAAAAGAGAGCCTCTATCTCCTGTATGCAGCTTCTTAAAACCTTCAAGAAGGATGCAGGTTGGCCCAGCTCATGTTATATTTCTGACCCCCAGACCAATCACGGCAGTCATGGAGACAAGATATTGTCATTGGCCTGATCTAAGTTATGTGCTCACCGTTGTGGCTGGAAAGCAGGGTTCTCATGACAGCTCACTTCCCATATCAAATAAGCAGTTCCTCAAAAGATAGTACCATCCCACTATTATCACAGTGGACCATCTAGTAGTGTTTGTTGGATGTCGGCCTTAAAGGTTGGCATACCCAGGAATACTGGTTAGCAAACAGGTACAGGACACATTTGCATGTTAAGAGCGTTGATCATGCTTCAGTCTGATGTGGTAGAGAGCATCTGGACTTAGGAGTCTAGTATCCCCATGCCATTGTTTGAGAGCTGTGTAACCTTAGACAATATACTTAACAAGAATACTAGAATATTTGTTACTCTCTTGGGCAATATATTTAACTTGGCAAATAATAAGCACTCAATAGTTGTAACTCTATCTCTCCTAGCAAGCTGAATTGAGTGTTTCCTTCCTAGTTGTCCAGAAAGCAGGGATTGCCAGCCAGGGTTTTGTAGCATCCCCAGGAAAATCTTCAGTTATTTCAAAATTTCATATGATAGCCTCAAAAATTATTTAAAGATTAGTTTCTTTTATCTTGAAATTAACTCTATTTCTAGGAGAAGGAGGTCATAGCAAATAAGTTGGATCAAAAAAAATAAGGTTGTACAGGTTGAATCATGTTCCCATAAAATTCATATGTTGAAACCCCGATCCCTGGTACCTCAGGAGGTGACTATCTTTGGAGATAGGGCCTTCAACGGTATAATTAAGGTTAAATGAGGTCATATGGGTATGCCTTAATCCAATATGACTGGTGTCCTTATAAGACAAGGAAGAGACATCTGGGTGCCCATGCACAGAGGGATAATCATATGAAGAGGAAGCAAGAGGCTGGCTACCTTCAAGAGAAGAAGAGAAGCCTCAGAGGAAACCAGCTCTGTCAGACCCTGATCTTGGAGTTTCAGTCTCCAGAATTATAAGAAAATAAATTTTTTGATGTGTAAGCCATCTAGCATGTGGCATTTTACTATAGTAGCTTTAGTAAATTAATACGTGGATATCACAATTATAGAATATATTTATGTATTGTATGTAATATTACATATATGTAGAAGGGCATTTCTACACAGACCCTATCACACTGAGTCAAGATCCTGCCCTTGTTTCCTCTCAAAACCCATTTCAAACTGTTTAGTTATAGAGAAATTACAATAACAGTCTGCCTAAGCTATACCTGGCTGTCTCCATTGTTGAACCAGGTAGCTTTTGAGCATCTCTTTTTCAACTCTTCTTGTCCTAGTCATATCTCTTCCAGCACTCACACAGGTTTTTTTTTCCTATGATCTCACGGCCAAGGAATGGCCCTTCATGGACCAGACATGAATTTTTTTATTAAGCTCTATTGAGACATGTAAATCATAATTGCACTTAACACGAGTTTCTTTTCTTTTGTTTGTATATCCCATTCTCCAAAGAATTGAGTTACTTGGGGTTTTTGTTTCAGATGTATTTGCCATTGCTGAAGTGCTAAGTTGACAGCTCCTGCCAGGGACACAAAGATGGGCAGGTCACCCAAAGTGCACATAGCCTTTCAATGAGACTCTGACAGGGGAGCCACTATCTTCAAATCTGTATGATAGGAATAATGATATTTACTTTCTACAATTGTTATGAGAATGTATTAGTTAGCTTTTCATTACTGTAATAAAATATCTGAGAAAACAATTTAATAGAAGAAAGGTTTATTCTGGTTCACATTTTCAGAGGTTTCAGTCCATGATCACTTGGTTTCTGTGATGGCATGGTTTCTATGATGATCACTCTGGACCTGTCATGAGTCAGAACATCAAGTCAAGGAACATGTAGCAGAGCAGAGCTGCTCATTTGTGGTGGCTTGAAAGCAGAGACAGAGTAAGGAAGGGGCCAGGACAAGATGTCCTCTTCTAGGGCATGCCCTCAGTGACCTATTTCTCCAACTAGGCCCACCCCTACAGTTTCCACCACCCCCCAACGGTCCATTCAGCCATGGATCCATCAATGGATTGGACTGTTGGTAAGGTCAGAGCCGTCGGGATCCAATCACTTTCCAAAAGCCCAACCTCTGTATCTTGCTGCAGTGGGGACCAAGCCTTCAACACATGAGCCTCTAGGGGACATTCCAAGTCCAAATTTTAACAAGAACTAAATAAATATGTTAGGGGCCTACTAAATCCAGGTGTTCAAAACCATGCAGTTCACCTCTCATCAGGTCTTTCACCTAAAAAAAAAAAAAAAGAAAAGAAAAGAAAACAGAATAAAAGGAAAGGGAAAATATTAAACTCCCCACTGTCACAGGGAAACCATCAAAAGGCATGATATGTGGGAGAGTATTGTATAAATTACATAATAACATCTACATGGGAGGTCTAACAGTGATTGTTCCTATTTATATAGCACTCACAACACAGGTCTAACCACGCGCCAGGACCACCCTAACAACTTTAGAAATACCCCTGAGTTTTCTCCCTACCGCATCTCTGAGGTGGGTTCTATTCTTAGACCGTTTTTACAGATGGGGAGATTGGTAGAGAGAGGACAAGGGATTTTCCCACGGTCACGGTCACATGGTTAGGAGAAGCCAGAGCTAGGGTTCAGAGCCAGGTCCTGAGAGTCTCCCCGTGCTGAAAAGTGACTGCTTGACCCTCTCATCTAACACCCCGTGGGAGCTCTAAAGGCGAAGGTCACTGCTTCGAGGAGGACCTTCTCCTCACCCTCAGACTCCCCTCCAGTCACCGCAGAGCAATCTGCAAGGAGAAACTTGACCCTGTGCACTGTCCTTGGCTGGGCTGCCTCCGGCAGAGCGGAAGTGGGCAAGGGAGGTGAAGCGGGATGTGCGGTCCCTGCCATCCATCGAAGCCCTTCCCATTCCTTTCTCAGGCAGAGCTGAGCTCTGAGAAACCAACTGAGGCCTCCCAACACCTGATCCGGAACTAAATAGCATGTATGTGTCACAGGCAGGCAGATAGTTCAGACAACCTGAAGAGCCTTCTGCTGCCAAAGACTGTCTAGCCAGGCCTCTGCCAGCAGGAAGGACAGAGGGGCAACTCATGTGATCATTCCATGTTTCTTCCCTCCATACAGAGCTGTGAGCACAGACATGCATGGAGGCCTTCACAGCTGCAGTGAGAGACCCAAATTCCAGAGGAGGACCAGGGAAGCACCCCTGAAAGTGGGAATGGAAACAGTCGGTTTTCTTTCATTTACGCATTTCTTTCATTCATTCACTCCGTAAAGATGCATTGCAATTCTGCTTTGCGCCAAGTCCTTCTCTCAACCCCATACCCATGGCAGATAACAAGATGTAGACCTTGTCTTCTTGGAGTTTATACTCGCAAACAAATAAAGGACTCTCGTGGATAAGCACCATCAAGAGAATAAAGTACAGTATTTAAACAGAGAGGTGCTCTGCGCTATTATCTTGATGGGAGGCAGCCACGAGGTATCTGTCGGTTGGTTAAGTAATTTACACTGAAAAATAATAGAAAACTGTTGTCCTCAACCCTGAAGCCAGGGTAGTAGAGGGGGGAGAATTCAAATTGGGAGTCAGGAGACTTCTAATTACCAGATCCGGTTAATTAACTTCTTGAGCCTTCCTTTCCTCGTCAGTTAAGTGGGAAAATGACATCTGCTTTAGAGATGTTGGTGAGAATTAAATGCAACAGAGTACATTAAAATGCCAGCATGTTCTTTGACACACCAGATACTCAAACCTGGGAGCTTTGGGTATTTCTAGCCTGAGCACTGTGAGACTGCGAGGAAGTTATTTAAGGAAAAGGGGCAAATATCATTTATGCAGTACCTACCTGTGACAGATCCTGTGCTGGACATTGTCCCTGAGTTTTATCTACTTCCTCTTTTGTACATTGATGGGTGCAGAGCCAGATGATACCCAAGATTCCTCCAGTTTACACATCTACATTAAGAGGGGTATACGGAGACCACCCAGCGCACATAAACAAAAGAGGTCTTTGGAAGGAGATCAGGATAACTGATATTCCCAGGAGGATCTGAGGCACAAGGACCTGCAAGAGCTTCCCAGAAATTCACAGGGACCTTCATGATGTTTTAGAGGCTCCTGGATCCCAGGGTTAGGTCATGGCACAGTAGATGTACCATGAGCCTAGACCCATCTTCTAACATGGTGATCTAGGAATTTGCTATTCCATTTTCTGCAGAGACTTTTCTACTTCACATTCTCACATGCCACCCAGACTACCTGGCTAAAACACCTTTCCTAATTTTTAGCTTGTGGTCATGTCTGCATTGGGTGGCAAAGACCGGGGGTGGGGGGTACAGCCCTGTGAATACTCATCCTGCCTGCCCCATCACTCTAGTCCATACTTACATGTTTTTAACCAAGGGAGGCAGCCACAGAGAACATCAGAAATGAGCTTGATAATAAGATACAACCTGAAGAGCGGAGTGTGGAGGAAGTCTTGTTTAGCTCCTCTTTCTAGATAGTTCCATCTCCGACATCAAAAGTCATAGACTTCCTAACCATATGGGATCTGGGAAGATAAGGTCATGGGTTGAAGATGTCACTGTCACCAACTTGAGGATGAAGAGTCTTTGGGACGATCATTGAAATTCCTACATTGATATTATTTGATTCCCCCCTCCCATGGGCTTGTGGGCATGAGCTAATGCATAGGGCTCACCAAGAACAGTAAGCCTTCCTCACACTTACAGCAGTAAGAGCAATGACGGTCAGGGCTAGCATTTCTCAGTATCCCAAGCATGTCCTTGGCATGTCCCAAGCACTATACATACTGCATTCTTACACATATCATTCTTACTTAAGCTTCACAACAATCCCAGTTTGAAGATGAGGAAACTGAGACTATAAGAAGTGAAGTATTCTAAGATCATTAAGAGAACAAATACTGGAGAAGGAATTGAAACCCAGGTCTGTCCTATTCCCAAGCCCAAATTCTTCCTATTGTGTGTCTGCTATGCTCTACCAAATGAATTTGGACCTCCTCCCAAGAAACCTGCAGAGGCTGGAGATGAGAACATCTCAACAGGAGACTCAGGAGAGGCCCAGCTGACCCTGAAGAACACCCATATGTCTCTCAAGGAAGCACATCTTATGCTCACCTGCACCTTGAGAACTTAGAACCAGTGGAGACCATTACCTTCATCTCCTACCAAAGTATTTCCTTGTGTTTTCGTCAGCTTTTTCACTGCTGTGACAAAAAGACCCAATCAGCTCAATTGTAGAGAAGGAAAAGTTTATCTGAGGGCTCACAGTTTCAGAGGTCTCAGTCCATGGACAACTGGCTCCATTCCTCCGGGCTTGTGTTGAGGCAGAACATCATGGTAGAAGAGTGTGGCAGAGGGAAGTGGCTCATATGATGCTCAGGCAGGAGAGAGAGAGAGAGAGATCTCCACTTGCCAAACACAAATATACACCCCCAAAGTCATGCCCCCCAATGCCCCATCTCCTCCATCCATACCCTACCTGCCTTCAATTACCACTCAACTAATCCCATCAGATGGTTAATTCACTGATTGGGTTAAGGCTGTCACCACCCAATCATTTCTCCTCCAAACCTTCTTGCATTGTCTCACACATAAGATCTTGGGGGACGGCTCACATCCACACCATAACCCCTTGCTTGTGAAAAACTGTGGTCCTCTCAGCCAGGCCCACTTAGCCTTCCTTCTTTCTGTGTCTTTCTGCTGCAGGCTTCTCTGTTCCTCCTAGAATCCCAGGAGCTTTCTTACCCCGAGAATTCACCTGCCTCCTTTCTCTCCTTCCTCCCAGCTCCCTTCCCCTTCCTCCCCTCGGGGAACTCTCCCCTGGCTTCATTTCTACAGAAAACCTGGGGGAGGCCCGAGGGAGATTCCTCCACTTACTCAACTCTCCCCAAAGCTGGAGAGAGTGATTTTTCTCCTCACCCCTCCAGGGCTTCTCTCCCGCTCTGGTGCTTCCCCAGCCTCCACAAAAGGGGCTGCGGGTGAAGGTTTTTCCATTTAATTTCATTTTTCATCATTTTTACCCCTTTTGGATGGTTCACATCTGAGGGTCTCGGTGGATTAACTGGCCAATCAGATTTCATTATGAGCCCAAGTAGTTCTTATCATTAAACCTGTAATTTATTTCTTCTGTGTTTCATAAAATGTGAAATATTACCATTCTCCAGGAGCTTGAGGAGAGCAGAGATGCTCCATTAAGTTCAACACTGCTCCTCCGTAAGAGGCCGTAATTATATGCGGATTTTTTCTAACCGCTAAGTTTCTACTTGCAGATGCTAACAAAAGAAATAAGCTTTTAATCCAAACATAATTAATATGAATTACCTCCCCAGTACACCCTGGCTTTGCACCATTAAACTTAATTTTTGTTTTGCATGATAATTGTGTTATCATTACCGTTTATAGGAGAACTCAGGGACCCTCACTTTGTTTTCACTCAAGACCAAAGGGACTGGAAATGATTTCCCTCCCCTCTGCCAGGCACATGCCTGTGGGCCAGGCTTCCTCACCCATCCCTCCCAGCCCCTTGTGACTTGGGGAAGCTGAGCCATGGGCCATATTGCCAGTTGCCATACCTTGTTCCAACAGAAAAGTGGAACATAGTCTAATCATACATCAGAGGATTTGCCACTCAGGAGACAGGCTCAGTCAGGGCTGCTGGGTAATCATCATCATCATCATCATCATCATTATTATCATAACTGTTGTTATTGTTCCTAACATAATGAGTACCACACAATTTCTTTGCAGCATGCTCCAGTTATCCTGGTATTGGTTATTTCTCACAACTATCTGGGGATCCTAGACTCTGAATTATTTAAATGAATCCCCAGAAAATCTTAGACTGAGCACCAAAGGTCTAGGTTTTACTAAAGGTCCATTTGAGATTCTATCAAGGCAAATTTTCTCTCTTACCTCTGTGTGTCTCATTCTCTCTATCTCTCACACAACTTTATAAGGAACATTGGTGTATTTTTTTTAATCCGAGAAAGAAATTGAGAAGAGTCTTCTTCATTGACCAAAGAGTTAACAAATATCTACTATGAACTGTGAGGAATGGCCCCTGACACTATGAAATTCATAATGTAGTTGAGAGAGGAATATAGACACCTAAATATTTAAGAAAGTGGAAGAATTAAATAAGAACACAATCAACAATGCTAAAGATGGCAAACAGAGTATCGGATAGTATGATCATTAGAGGAAGGAGAGATTACAAATGTGTTCAGGGAAGGTAGGGTGGGAACAAGAGCTTGGGCTGGACTTTGAATAGTGGATAGGATTTGTAGAAGTGACTCCTGGAGCCAAAGCAGGTGGGGAAGTTAAGCACAGCCTGGAGGAAGATACACACAGACAGCTGGACAGGGCATCTGGGGCCAGAAGACGCAAGGTCTTGAGTAACAGGGTGATGGGGACACACAGAATGATTTTTAAGTGGGACAGAGTACTTAAAAGAAGTGGTATCTTCAAATGATCAGTATGGGGGTTCCTTGCAAGAGGGTCAGATAAGGGGACTGAGGCTAGGGAGGCCAGGGAATAATGACAACAATGACCTGCCATAGGGGGCTTGACTGGGCTGGAACAATAGGAAGGAAGAAAAGAAAGCGGGGTGGGGGAGGGAGACGGAAGGAAGGAAGTAAGAGAGAGAGAGAAGAGAGAGGAAGGAAGGAAGGAAGGAAGGAAGGAAGGAAGGAAGGAAGGAAGGAAGGGAGGGAGGGAGGGAGGGAGGAAGGGAGGGAGGGAGGGAAGAGAGAGGAAGGAAGGAAGGAAGAGAGAAAGAGAGAGGAGAGAGGAAGGAAGGAAGGAGGGAGGGAGGGATAGGAAGAAAGGAAAGATTTTAAAAAGAATCTATGGTCTGGGTACCTGCCTGGAATCCCAGCAGCTAAGGAGGCTGAGGCAGGAGGATCACGAGTTCAAAGCCAGCCTCAGCAAAAGTGAGGCACTAAGCAACTCAATGAGACCCTGTCTCTAAATAAAATACAAAAAAAAATAAAATAAAATAAGGGTGGGGATGTGGCTCAGTGGTTGAGTGCCCTGAGTTCAATCCCCAGTACCCCCCCCCCACAAAAAAAAAAAAAAATCTATGGGGCAAGAAAGGATAGGTGATAGAGGATGGAATACTTCACATTACTTAATAGGAGTTATCACTGTAAGTCCACTACAAATCACTCAAAGCATTGATTAATTATCATTCATGCTTAATGTAGATTAGCACCTGTGAATATTGTCTCTTGCTAACTAGATACTATTAGTATTAATATTTTGCCCTATTTGGTCCTTCTACCATCCCTGTGAAATTGTCCAGCATACTCCGGACATGTATATACTCTGTTACATATATTTCATAGCTGGCAAAGGAAAGTCACTGAGATAGTAAAAAAATTATCAAAAATAAGATATTTTTTCAGTGGCCAAGTAATAACCATTGGTCTTCAGACTCTATCCTCAATAGTATTGTTCAAAGAGTTATAATGACAATTATAGGCATCACCCAAGTCCCCTAATCTGCAACAAAGCCAAGAGTGTTCTCAAACCCAGAAGCCACACCACTTGATGACAGCCCTTGACTCTATTTTCTCTGGGTTAGGAGTGGGGCATTGAAATATTTAGTGTTTTCAAGTATACCAAACCACAAGGGCAGTGCCAGAGCTCCTTCACCAGGATACTGGCCCTATTTTCCTTGTCAAGTTAGCCAACAACAACATGGGTGCCAGTTTGCTTGCACAGAGGTTCTGACTACAGCAAAAACCCTTCTATGAAAACAAGCCTTACCAACGGCCCAGAAGCTGCAAACAGGGACTAAATTTTTAATTAATATAAAAATAAATTTGACAAGCTCTGTATTTGGTTCAAAACAAATCCAGTGAAACTCAGTAAGATAATCAGTATAAAGTTTTAAATCTAGGAGGAGGGAAGAAAAAAGGCATCCAGTATGATACCATCAAATAAAGTAGGTAAAAAATTAAAAAGTGAGAAAGGGATGAAAGAATAAAATCTGATAGGAAGACAATAGTAATGTGGGATGGATCACAAGGTGAAAGTAAAATCAACAGAAGAGGCCTAACGCCTTACTATGGGGTGGGATCACACCTGCTGTGTCTCATGTGTCTCTTAAGAACAGTAAGCATGACGGTAGACTGAGAAACTGAGTTAAACAACACAGGTCCAGCACGCAATCATCCAGGGGATTCTGGGGTTGGTCCCTTCTGAGCACTGCATGCTATTTGGAGTTGAACTACTAAAAGGAAATGTGAATGGAGAGGTAAAATAAAGGGTTAGAGAGAAGGACCTAAAAGACACCTGTGGAACCCAGAATTATATGGCCCAGGGTGGAAAGGTCTAGAAAATAGGAAATAAGTGGGACCCAGTTGACTTAACAGTAGGCTTTAAGCCAATATGAGCCATCTTTCCCTCCAAAAATGGTACCCAGATGGTCTTCTCCATGTTTCTAGAAGAGAAAAGAGCCAAGGTGGGTTTTGGCTGAGCTGCAGCAAGAACATGTTAACCCCAGACTCATTTTCTTGAAATC